CTTGGGATCGACTTCCACTTAGGCTTAATCTAGTGAGATGCCACAAGTTAGCGAATTTTGTAAACGCTATATAAAACCAGGAATAAAAGAGTGGCGTTGTGATGGATAACTACGAGATATTCGTGTGGTCTCAGACTGTCAATGCGAATGGGATTATTAGTGCAGGCCGCTAGCCTGGTGAGCTCGGATAAAGTAGGATATACGAATGATGGATGAGATACGTTCGAGCCTGTGATGCACTTCCGGGCTTCGGGTCTACAGTCCATCTAACATTTTACTTAAGTATTGATGAAGTCAACCTGTATGAGATGTAAAGAATGCGATCAAGTTACAGGAAGGGCTAGAGGTGAGAATATGGTCCTGGCTATACAGGAGCGTAACTCGGTGAACAGTAATAAAAGAATTTGAGTTGTGGGAAAGAATGTTGAGACGTAGATCAGAGCAGGCATTTCTGTGAAATAGAAGGGTAGGGGTGCCCAGTCCGGAAAGAGATAAGAGCCACTCATCTTCTTATACTCGACCAGAATATCATGAGTTTGATATACACCCTAACACTACATTACTAAGCGGCCTAGGTGGCCAAATATAGAAGGGCCATCTGAGAATACTTGGCGTTAAAGGAAGTGTGGGGCAGCCGTGTAGGGTTTGTTCATGTGTCTAGTTAACCACAGCCACACGGCAGCCCTCCAAGCAAACTAAAACTAGGAGAATAGGTAAGGTTCGAGGTCAGCTATACTGTAGTGCTGTTGGTATTTCGGCTTTTTTGACAAATCCGATAACTATAAGGAAGTATCGAATAAAGCGGGCCAAGACTGGAGTATAGGCGATCCATAAGACGGGCTACGGGAACTGTAAGAAGACCGGAGTAACGATGGCTTACGGCGACCATGTGTACAGATTTAGAGTAGGAGAGATAGAAGTGGTTTGGCAAGGATGGCTGCCGACTATATGCACATGGTCACAATTCTGCAGCTCCGTTTGTGCCTTGGCATTGTTGGTGATGTAGGACGATAAGGGTGAGGGTATTTTATGAATTGAGGTTTATCGCAGGATCGGAAGTGATATGGGATCAATGGTATAGTAACTTGCTACTGGCTTAGGACTGTCCTACTGTCGTGTGGACAGCAAAAAATGTGGACATCTGGGGTGGGGTCAGTGCGTTAGTAACCCTCCAATCCGTTTTCGTATGCCATTTCTTCCGATATGTTTTATCCCAGTAGGCCAATGGTATATTTAACGGTAAGTAAGGTATATATCTCTCTCCGGAAAACTTCGGGTAAATAGCATTCTCGCAGCTTGAATGGTAACCGGTTCCACAGGTGGGCGTAGACGTTCAGGTAGAAATTTTTCGGGCTTGGGTTCTGGTATATCGCGATGATCGTGCGCGATTTATCCTGTACGAGATTAGACGTCCAATCAAAAGCAATGGGTAGAACACACAAAAGTTAGATTAGGGGAAAAGTTTATTGAACGAGAGAAGAGCTAGCTAACGCTAAAAATAGGGAACCAAGAGACAGCTAGCTAAGAAGCATGTGGTTCAGCGTCGAGTGCGTTGACGGAGCTTCGTTCGCAGTCGACTCGTGCACGCCAAAGGGCAGATATCGTGTTCGTGTCTCAAACAAACGGGAATACCGTTCCAACAGGCAAACCGCCTAATTCCGTAATACGTAAGAAAGCTATAGTTGTAACATATTTTAGAATAGTTTACACAGTCCTAAGGGGGAATCTCCAGCTCAGTAGACTAGGTCATTCGAGTCTTAGTAACTTGTCACTGCTTCGAGTAACGTATGTCAGACATTTCTTGAACTCCACATCTAAATTAAGAGCTTTGACTCGCTTACGTATTACATTGAATAGAAGAAGCAGGTTAACTTATACTCTTCTCGGCCATTCCGCGTCGAGGCGCAAGGTTTTGCTGCGATGAGCGTACGATAATTGCGAATATGAGCCCAGTAGGCGCTAAGTAAACCACTGTTGCAACTTTTCCAGTTGCTAAAGAGCGCTTTTACTTGAGCTGCTGAAGATCATCGCACAATAGTCAAGCAGTGGCCGCGTTGTTAGTGTGTATAGAAGGACTATCGCTGCCCGCGTCGGAACTGTTTTGAATGATTTGGAATAGTGGTAGGACGGGAGGCTTGCTCAGTTGCTGCGGAGTTCGCCGAGCTGGGCAACTTGAGGGCAAACGTTTCGCCACCATTCGAGGTAGCACCTTCAGTGCGGGATTGATAGCAGTTAGGTAGTACTAACTGCTAGAAAGCAAACCCAATAATGGATACTGTCAGCAACCACACCGTTCCTTATATAGACATATGGGGCCATTAATTTTGCCTCCTTCTCATTGGCGAATCATTGTGTTCAGCGGACGTGCTCGAGGCATTGTCATTGGCGGCGGAAATGTTGTTGCGACGTGGTTGGGATTATCGCACTCGGATTGGTGCAGCGGGTGTGGGTGAGCAGTCTGGGCTCACATTGACCATGCTGTTCATTGTCCGTATGTTGGAGTAGGTTCTTTCGGACAACGGTTGTTGATCATCTTGAGCTCGCTCTGTCTCAGAGATTTTGGTATATTGGATCGATGTCGATATGCATGTTGATTGAGTTCGTGGTTGGGAACCAGGCTTCGAGAAACTTCCGCCCTTTTTGTGTTTCTACTTCGTGTGTGTTTTTTCGACCGTAGTGAGATGCGCACCTGCGACAATGGCCTGTTGCATGAGGGTGTTGGCGGTTTTGCACCAATTTAACCAGGGCTGCCCGGTTTGAAACGGGCAGTAGCCAACCCTTGTGCACCCAGTGGTGCCCTCTAACGGTTATAGACAATTGGTGGCGCGCGTGCTCTACTCCAGTCGAGCGGTGAACTTATAATCCGTGTACCTGTTGTCTCCCATGGCTAAATTTTACCGGAAGACGTCCATCGACCACTTCCTAACCTCCGAATAGGACAGAGTGGGATACTGGCAGGGCGCCTACACCTGAAAGGGGAACGACCCGGGTCCTCAGCCAAAGCCTTCGATTAAATGTACACCCGAAGGCAGCGGGTCTAGCACATGGTCAGTTCACTGACGCATGCGGATTGGTGTCCTGGCTCTTAGCTAGGATAAGGGCAGAACCCAACTCTCACTCAGCGGTCATCACGAGTAGGCGTCCAGGACATGAACTCATGGTACAACAGTAGCAGCAGTGAATAGACCATCTGTCAGGATCTAGCCACCGAAAGCCTCAGCGCACTTAGGCTCTCCTGATATATATATATATATATATATATATATATATATATATATATATATCATATAACCTCACGCTAGACGGCACACGAAACCCCACGATTACATCCCCAGTTAGAGGAACAGAATACTGACCTTTAGCTGGATCACTTTTACTGGCTCAGCTAAAGGTAAAAGCAAAGTTAACACCTGTGTGTTTATAGCATAATTGACGTGGTGTCGTCCGGCATTTAGTATAGATGGGTGGAGCGAAGGTCTAAAAATGTGACTTGTTCCATACTTAGGGGTCCACTGGGTCTATGTGAGGGAACTTTAGATATGATTAGGGCGACCAAGTGCCTTACCCACCAGAATCAGTTTACATGATGTCAGATGGGGAAATGTGAATACACATGCGAATCATCGCTTGGAAACAGCATCCAAGACGCAGGGGTACTTGTCGAGCGGTTTTACTGCAGCATGTAAGATCCTGTAACAGGTCAACCAATTGTTTCAACCTATTCAGTCATGGATACAGGAATGGTCCCTTCGGTGAAATGTCATCTGGATAAATAGGTTATGAGAAGTTTTCTAACCACTTTGCTTCAATGCCGTAATATTTTACCAAATGGTTATGCAAGTTTGTTGTGTCTACCCAGCTTCCAGCTTGCTTGAATAAATCTGATATTCTGATTCCTTGAATCACCCCTTTAGAGAGATCCGCTTAGACTGACGACTTTGAAAAGTGACAAATTTCTTGGTTCAGGTCTATAGTAAATTTACTTGCGACTTGGTAACCGTACTTCTATCGACTTTTTCAGGATGATGCATTGACCTCGAAAGAGTTTTTGACTGCCGACGTCTAACCGCCGTTCCTATATTTGCGGTACTTGATTCGACGTTACGTGACTACTACTGAGACGTTGCTTCAAGTGCATGCTTCTAGATACTCTAGAAGAGTCAATTTATGCAGCTCACTTGCCCTTGGAATGTGAACTCATTAGAATCATCGATGATATTGTTAACAGCAGCGAGCTCTTTGACGCTATATTCATTCATCCAGATTTGGGACAGCAGCCAGTGTAGATAGAATTCTAGGGTCTAAGGCCGCAGTTAGTATAGTTGTACACATGTTATGCTATTTGTCTTTGTAGAGCGTTGCAATAACTATTTTGGTGACCTAGATGTTGGCTTGTCCTTCTGACTGTTCCCAGTCATAATAGTGCGGTGTTCACCTATCTTCGCGAACGTGGCAGTTGTGATATTGAACAGCTTTCGTTCTCTAAAGATTTCGCGCGGTCACTACATGAAGACAGTTCATGAAGATAATTCAAAAAATATGGTTTTTCTGGACTGCGGGATTTTTAATTCGTTTGGTCGCTTTTTCTATCGTATTCGTTCCGCCGCTCCAAGCGGTTCAGCTAAAATTTCTATCGCTGCGTCCTCGAGTGCCTTCCATTACACTGCACCCCGTTAGCACAACATCGGGTGTACAGTCGGAAATACCCTACATAGCAAGCTAAATAATGTTCCACATCTCACACTGAAATTAAGCGCCTGTATTATTACTCAACTCTTAATAAGTTCAATCTCTTGAAACCATCTTGGCCCTTTGCTGTTATTACTAACTTCGAACACATTTGGTTTGCTAATAGACCAGGGCATCGGAATTTTAGCAAATGTGCAAACAATTGTATTGGTTCCCCAGTGCTTCATCCTACTCTACTAACATACTTCACTTCATATGAAACATATGTCTTTTATCTCCATTCGGTATCTTTATCTTCACAACAAAGCTAGGCCTGGGACGCATGTGTCAAGCAGAGGGATATCTGGCTCAGGCTCAGTGGACATTGTTGAAAACGCAGCACGAATGCTCAAATGCCATTCGCTCCCAGCTGCATCGCAAGTTGGGACTTTTCTATGCAGCTAAAGAAGATTATGAATCTGCTCTGGAAAATTTGGCTAAGGACGTAAGTGTCCTCAAGTTGTAAGCTTTTCCTTTTTACTTCACAATTGTAACCTCTTAAACAAATAAAATTGCGCTATTTCAACTCATAATATCAATTAAGCTTGGGCTTCCTGAACTCACTGTTTTGGTTGTTCTACTGCTTATCCTTGCCCAGTGGTTTAGACACTTCTCGACTTAAAAAGCGTTTACTCGCCTCTCTGTTCGCACGCTCACCTCGCCATACCTGATATTTCAGCTATGTGTTTGTTGTTCAACAGTGTAAATGGCTGCTCAAGAAAGTAAGGAATTGTTGAAGTCACTGTTGCATAAGCCTTCCGTTACACAGCCCATTTCCCACAACTCGGCCATCTTGGGTTCCATTTAATCCTTCAGAAGCAGTAAACATTATTATTGTTGTTAATATTTACTCCTCTTGTAAGTTAATTTGGGCCAGACATTTGTACGGAAATGGAACTTTTCTCATTGCTTTTCTCTACATAGTTTTGAACGTAAAGTTGAAAATGAACTTATTTGATCTACACCTACTACGACTGACCAGGTCCATTCACTAGGTGCACCCAACAACCCGACTGCTGCATCACACTACAATAGAACAACAGGAAATGTCAGGAAGTTAGCTTCCATTGTTTAGGGTAAATAGTTAACTGTTAATCGAGGTAATTGAACGAACATCTTGTGGCCTCTTGCACAGCAGTTCTTGGTTGATTCATGTCAGTGAGATAATATTAGGTTACTCAATTCTAAACATCTGCTGTTGGTGACGATGATCAAATTCTACCCGGATTGTCGTTATTGGAGACTAGTAATATTAGCTATTGATCCGTCACGGCTCTGCTCAGTCACACTACGAATGAATATCCAGGAGATTACTGGGCGTTCGTTTCGTTGTTTGAGAAATCACATTTACCCGATGAAGCGTCAAAACCCGCGGCCCTTCATCTTCAGGTTAGATCACCACCCAAACCTCTCCCACACCTACTCTCTAAAACAACGAATTACCATGGTATCATCAGAGTGAGTATGTTAGCGACGTCATCCGTACCTGTACTCGATATCTTGGAACGGATCGGGAAGTCATCATTTCAGAAGACATGGTAGATGACCGCTTAATATATTTATGGTGATACACAACGTTTCGCTTTTGACACAAAAGCTTCAGTAGGCGAAGTGATTTAGCTTAACATCGGCATTTTTATAACGATTATGGCTAAGCTACATACAGAGACTAATCAATTTGGGGTTCACCGAGGAAAGATTACAACGGTCATAGGTCACTAGGCTCATGTGTACAATGTGGTTTATTTCAGTCAGGAACAAATGGGGAAAAGAAATTGCTGGTCCAATGATAGTTACATGTGTGGTCAGCAATCTTAAGGGGTCCGTTGCAAGGAACTTGGTCACTGATATAACTCGGTTTTAGTACTTCGGAATTTCGTACAGGGAGGATCGACAGTCCATTCCGATTTGGGATCTATCCACCGATGGTTATCAACCTGGCCAGAGTAAGACTGGACGCCAGGCACTACACAGCCCTACTCCGTCTATTCTATTCATGCAGTTGTTAGTCTTGGTTATTTCTATAGCCTCAGCAATCAGCCTTTGTTTGGCTGATCGTAATCCCTTCCTAATAACATCGACATTTTTGAAGTCAATTTCGTGCCGCGTGTCTAGCGCATTCATTGCTATTGCCGAGTCTCTGAGTAGAGCTCTATACTCTAGCTCATTTCGCGGAGATCGTGACCTGTGTCGTCTGCATTCTGAAATCCTTATACGCAATTCCCTTGCTGTTTGGCCTATATACACTCGCGTACAATCTTTACATGGAATTTAGTAAACGCAGTTAGTTGTTCTATCTAAAGGAAGTGAATCCTTCAGATACACAAGCGTGGACCGTAATGTCTGAATCTTCTGGAACTCTACCCTTATTTTCTCCTTATTCAGTACTCTCCGAATCGCTTCCGAAGTCCCTTCTTTATACAGAATACCCACTGTCGCTATCCACTCTGTGGTTGGTCATGTATCACCATAAATATGTTATTGGGTCGTCTACCAAATTTTCTGAAATGATTAGCGACCTCATATTTTTAGGTACCAACTACGTAGTTAGTACGTTGGAGAATGGCTGTCGCGTTATATCGCAGGTTGTTCTCAGCTGCTTCCGTATATCCCCACTTGGCCCATTGATATTAGTAAATAGCTTGAAAGAGAAAGGTAACAGATTTCAACCCGTCATTGGTTGGACGGAGTGCGAGGTGGTGTGGCGCTTCCAAAGCCCAGCTGGGGCTTGTCTGGATCTGCATTGAGAAACTCCCCTCTAAATAAATCCAGATTCCTCCTTACAGTACTCTGTAAATAACAACGTTCAGTGCATGAAATGAAAGTTATGTGGTATGAGTAGTCTCTCTCAACCTACCAGTGAATATTCTTTTAATTACTGAGTCATGACTCAACCGAATGGACACCCCCATCACTCTCTCAAGTTATAGTAAACGGAATTTGACTAGCGTTACATCCTTTTAATTGGTGGGGGCCACCTGTACCAATGGAATTTACAATGCGTGCGGCAACTCATCGTGTTTTCTGGGTTGCGCATTTTACTCTGATAATCTGCGTGTGAAATACATCCGAATTTCCGGTAACTTGCTATGGAGTGTCTAATGAAAGTTTATACGAAATTCTTAAGGTCTATGCTCCATCATCATTGTCGAAGGCAGTCGACTACTGACTGGTATGGTCGTTCCAATGCCCTAACTCTAGTGCTATTGAAACGTTGATGTACACCAGGGCCCAAACTTTTACTATGATCACTTTTCTTCAGACCCCCAAATTGGACAATGACTGCGGCGTTTAGTCACTTAGTAAAGATCAGTACTTGGGAATAGGATATTTCTAGTCTATCAACTTTCTTTCTGATTGCAAAAGAGTTATTTCATAGCAATTTTTCTGGCACTAATGAACTGTCAGGCTGATGTGCATTTTTGGCAACCAGCCCCGTTAGGGCTTGTTTCGCTCTCGAACCTCTATACAGAAGGGGATTAAAACCAACAGGCGGTTTTGCGACACAAATAACCTCTATTCTTAAACCCCGGGTTAAACTATCCTCTTCATGAACACAAGACACAACTCGTTAATGGTTAGATTTCAAGGATTTTAGTGATTTGTCCGCTTCCTAGTCATAACGTATTCCGGTCAGCTTCGTAGGTAGGCGGTCGTGGTGGTTTCTGAGTTCGTCGTTTTCTTTTTCCATTTGAACAATTGTCCGGTGTCATAATTTCGTGAATGAGTGAATGCGACTCCAGTGAGCATGCTTATATATGTCTACCGCTGCGAGCCCTCCGCGTGATAAGTGGAGTTCACATTTAAGGTACACTAAGTAGACATTGAGGGGCCATTTGTATGTGCAGTGTGTGCGACCACGACATCGGCATTTACGGCAAACCCTTAGCGACCTGTAGTTAACGGTTCAGTTCATGCTAGCTGGGTGAGGCACCACAGCTCTAGCACTGTACTACAATTCGATTAAGCAATTATTAGAGGGGAAAGCAAAGGAACATATATTGATATTTCTAGTCCATTCCGAAATTGAGATCGTCGTTGGAGGAGAAGCTAAGCAGGACGTGGACGAAAAGTGTAGCTCGCAACGCAACTGTCATTGCGGCCGACTCTAGCGAATGTCAACAGATGGGGAAGAGAACTCAGAGAGCTCGCTGGAGACCAAGCCTAATCCTGCCCGGGTCGTAAGATCAAGGACAACACTTGGAATGCGGGTGCTGTTTGCCAACGTCTGGAGCATCAGGAACAAACCGGACGAAATTCACTGTACCACCTAGGAGCTATGCCCAGGCCTGCTTGTCTTTACAGAGACGTGGCAATCCTCGGATATACCGGATGGAGAGCTACATATCCCAGGATATCAGCGCTCATGGGCGGACCGCAATGGGGTGAGAACCGGGGGCTGTGTAATACGGTACTGGAGATCTGAACTCAAAGTGCAACCCATTGAAACTGTTAGTGATGACGGTATAGAAATGCTCTGGTGTCGGATCCACGACGGAGGCAAAGCTCTTATTATCAAGGTGGTGTACAAAGCCTCGTCCGGTAACGGCAACCGTGTTTTGAATTCAGTCAAACCCTACGGGTGTAGCAGGGACTGTCTAATATTGGGTGACTTCATTGCGCCTAGTATTGACTTGGATCTTCACCACTGCGGACTCACCGCAGAATTATTTGATGATGGTCTTCCTGGTGCAGTCCTTAATGCCAACTTATCTCAGCACGTCTCCATGCCCACCAGAATACTCCAAGGCCAGACACCCCACATTATTGATTTGGTGCTCCCACCTGTACCATCTGACATCTCTGGATTATGTTACTCTCTCTCCGATTGGTCATAATAATCACTGTACTCTCCTTTTTACGTCGACACGATAATGTATCAGTCGAGACCGAAGGGTTTACCACCGAAACTTCTGGAGTACCAATCCTACCTAAGTGTGGCGGCTAGCACGTTGGACTGCCTTACATCACAAAATCTTGACCTCGATAGTGGTTGGACACTTCTGCACTTCATAAGGAACCAGTTCATTGAAGAAGTATTCCCAACCACAAGAAGTAGGTCCCACACGAGAGCTCCTCCTTGGATTGATAGGGAAATACAGCATCCAATGAATCAGCAAAAGCAACTATGGAACCGTCTCAAACCGACTAAACTGGCCTCGGACTATTCAAACTACCAGTGGCTTAAGAACTTATATACTATGAAAAAGCTGGAGAAGAGTCAACAATATGAGCAGAGTTTGGCAGAACAGTCTGTGTCCAGACCTAGAAAACTGCGCTTATTTTAACCAAAGGACCAGTCACCTGTGGCATAACCGCTTTATCATCCAGTACAACAGATTCCCTTCTATACGAGGATGGCAAGAACGCAGATCTCCTGACCCGGCATTACTCATCTGTTTACGCACTGGAGGACCCACCGCTCAACAGTATTGATGCTTCGGA